GCGAAATGTATTTGCTTTTTGCAACAAAAAAAGCTTTTGCCCCGTCTATAAATAATATAAAAACATACTGGTCCAAGATCAGCTAATTTCTACCCAGTCTTCATGAAATCATACCATGAACAGGGTTTTTTTTTACTCCCTTACAATGTTGCACTTCTTGACAAAAAACCAGGCCCCGACAGAAGTGACAGGTTATCAAGATTTGAAAAGTTTTCATGATCCAAACAAAAGTTCACATATACTTTTATCCATTAAGAAATCTTGTAATTTACGAGTCTTTGATTTTTGTTTCAAGGTAGCTGTCATTCAAGCAGTATTACCGAGCAAAAAGAAACGCTTTTTGGGATAAAACGTTTTGTACCTGTGTTTTTGACAGTGGCCGGTGTTGGGAATTGTTTTAAACAGGAAGTAAACATTGAAAGATACCAAGAGTTTTGGGTATTCAGGTGACGATGAAAACTGTGGGACCAAAATTGGAAGGGGCTACATATATAAGATAAGGTACAACAAGCCCCTTTCCATGATTTTATGTGAGGAACAAACAGATGGTGTGGCAAATGCGTTTCTAATCGTAAACATATGCCCAGGCCCCAAAGCGGTGCTCGTGGGATGACGTCAGGTGTTTTTCTGGCCAAGACACATGGCATTAGGGGGCATGAAAACAGATGTCACATTGTTGATAACCTTTTTCCCCAATGAAATGCAAGCAGTGGCAACTTGACGAGTGGACTAATGAAGTATTCGAAAACCAGTGACGTGATTTATTTACACAAAACATGCACTTGGGTTTCCAAAAGGACATGGGAATGGGTTTTGTTGACTGTGTTTTTTTTAAGAGTTACAATGGTACAGAAACTTTTCTTCCACTCATGACTTTTTTAAGCTGAATGCATTAAAAAATGTACCAAATAAAAAACTGGCAACAGACCCCCGTATGGTGAATTTTGTTTTTTGTTGTCAGACTTCTCAAAAGAAGCACCAGGTAAAACCCTGTATACAAACCGGGTCCTCGAAATTTTCAGGATATACCTAAGCGTTGGGGGGAAGGGGATCATTTTTAATACAGCTTCCTTCAACTCAGAAGAAAATTTTCTAGAAGAATGATCTCTTTCACAAACAAAAAAACGGCAACAAAGAAGCAAAAACACTCGGTTTATTTGGAGGAATGTAAATGCCTCTGTGAAAAGGGCCTTTTTTCAAGGGGTTCCCCAAGTCCCATTCTAAAACCTTTTATGATTGTAAAAATTTTTAAAAAATTGATAGAACTTATATTAACAATATTTGTGATGTTTTTTTGTAATAAAAAACAGTGGTAAACTAATATGATAATAACTTAGTGCGGGTTTTGTTCAATACATTTGGTTTTTTAATATACTTATAACAGTATTGGGCTCTCAGGCCCCAAATTTTATAGGAATAAAAAAAATTTGGAAAAGAAAAAAAAAAACAACAAAAACCGCAAAAAATGTAATCGCGTAAGTGGAAAGTCGATTTTTGCCGCCCACCCATCATTTTCGACAAACTTTTTGGGATGTATCTCGGGAAGTATGATCAGAATTTTTTTTTTGTTTAGTACCTTCACAAAAATATGCTCTTTAATTCTGTAAAAAAAATAATTTTTTTTTTTTTTTTTTTTTTTTTTTTTTTTTTTTTTTTTTTTTTTTTTTTTTTTTTTTTTCAAAATTTCTTGGACACTGGAGCCCACTTAATTTTGGGGTTTTGGGCCCGAAAAGGGTTCATAAGATTGGTAATGAATTTATGGGGGGAGGGGGGAAGTGCAAGGTTTTACTGTTTAGAAAGGGGAAAACCCCTTCCTTAGGCGGGAGCAATCCTTTTCCCGGGGTTACTTCCTTCTTTTTTTAATCCCCTAGGACCACTTTAAATCATGGACTTCTGTCGCACAAAATATCTGTCCATAAGGCCCGACCTCTTTTTCCTCGTGACTTTCCCAAAGTTTCACAACATTGTCAGTGTAATAGTCACCAGCATGGCTTGCAGTAGCTGTGTCAGGGTGATTTTCATCAAAAAAGGTTTGCACTTCAAGCCACTTTGCACACATTTCCTTAATCTTTGAAGTAGGCAACTTCTTCAGTTTCTCTCTCCCCTCCTCTGAAGCAGTTTCCTCAGGTCTGGCCTCTTGCTGTTGAAGATGATCTAGCAGCTCATCAGTGGTTAGTTCGTCATTGTCCTCCTCCACCAACTCTTCCACATCCTCCCCACTAACCTCCAAGCCCAAGGACTTCCCCAATGCCACAATGGATTCCTCAACTGGCATAGGATTCTCAGGGTTAGCCTCAGACCCTTCAAAATCCCTTTTGTCTACACATTCTGGCCACAGTTTTTTCCAAGCAGAGTTCAAGGTCCTCTTAGTCACTTCCTCCCAAGCCGTACCTATAAGGTTTATACAATTGAAGATATTAAAGTGATCCTTCCAAAACTCTTTTAGAGTCAGTTGAGTTTCTGTGGTCACTACAAAGCACTTTTGAAACATAGCTTTTATGTACAGTTTCTTGAAGTTGGAAATGACCTGCTGGTCCATGGGCTGCAGGAGAGGAGTGGTATTAGGAGGCAAAAAGTTGACAGAAAGTCACTCTGCCACATCAGAAGGATGACCAGGGGCATTGTCTAATACCAGGAGGCACTTAAGGTCTAATTTCTTTTCAGTTAGGTAATTTTTCAAAGTGGGGGCAAATGCATGGTGTAACCAGTCATAGAAAAAGTCCCTAGTGACCCATGCTTTACTGTTTGCCCTCCACAGCACACACAAATTAGCCTTGAGGACATTCTTTTGCCTGAACACTCTGGGAGTTTCAGAGTGATACACCAATAAAGGCTTCACTTTGCAATCACCACTAGCATTGGCACACATTAACAGAGTTAGCCTGTCTTTCATAGGCTTATGTCCTGGGAGCGCCTTTTCCTCCTGAGTAATGTAGGTCCTGCTTGGCAATTTCTTCCAAAACAGGCCTGTTTCGTCACAGTTAAACACTTGTTCAGGTTTCAATCCTTCAGCCTCTATGTACTCCTTGAATTCATGCACATATTTTTCAGCCGTTTTGTGGTCCGAACTGGCAGCCTCACCATGCGTTATCACACTATGTATGCCACTACGATTCTTAAATCTTTCAAACCAACCTTTGCTGGCCTTAAAGTCACTCACATCAGCACTAGTTGCAGGCAATTTCTTTACCAAATCATCATGCAACTGCCTAGCCTTTTCACAAATAATCGCTTGAGAGATGCTATCTCCTGCTATATGTTTTTCATTTATCCACACCAATAACAGTCTCTCAACATCTTCTAACACTAGCGATCTCTGTTTTGAAAACTAAGTTGCACCTTTTGTAACAACAGGTTCCTTGATTGCCGTTTTCCTGCTCGCTATAGTAGAGATGGTTGATTGGGGTTTGCTATACAACCTGGCCAGCTCCGACACACGCATTCCACTTTTGTACTTTGCAATTATCTCTTTCTTCATTTCAATAGTCATTAGCACCTTTTTTCTCGAAGGCTTGGCACTAGAAGCTTTCTTGGGGCCCATGGTTACTTATTTTGCAGAAACAAGCACCAAAAAGTGATAATATGGAATGTACCGAATGTATCCTTAGATGCGCGCACACTGGCTGGCTTGTAAACACTGGCACACAGGGTGCAGTTCAGGCCACACGTGGACACGTCTCGTATGAAATGAGACGAATTGCATCGAATGTCGGATTTATCGAATGTCGATGCCATCGAATGTCGGGTGTCCACTGTATTGATATAAAATAAGACATTTAATGTGCCCAAGAGTGATTATTATTACGTAGTATTGGCGTCATGAGTAGAGAGAGACTTAGCGATTTTAATGTGTACCTGCACACCAGCACAGTGTGTAAGTATATTTAGGTACCGGTACACTTAAGTATAATTATCAGAGTACATATAAAATATGCAGTAACTTTAAAACACTTGAAATTTTGGAAAGTTTCCTGACATAATAGATGAGGTCACGGAAAATGTAAACAAACTGGGTGGGGGGCGCCGTATTTGAAAGACCGCTTGCCGTATAGCAAATTTTGGTCATCATTTGACATCGCCATATTGGCGGAATACCGTAAGGCGAAACGCTGTAAAGCGGAGCCTTACTGTACATTGTTGTTAGTTCAGTGTCACCAGTGGAAGGATACATTGTTGTAAGTTCTGTGTCACCAGTGGAAGGATACGTTGTTGTAAGTTCAGTGTCACCAGTGGAAGGATACATTGTTGTAAGTTCTGTGTCACCAGTGGAAGGATACGTTGTTGTAAGTTCAGTGTCACCAGTGGAAGGATACATTGTTGTAAGTTCAGTGTCACCAGTGGAAGGATACATTGTTGTAAGTTCAGTGTCACCAGTGGAAGGATACTTTGTTTAAGTTCGTGTCACCAGTGGAAGGATACATTGTTGTAAGTTCAGTGTCACCAGTGGAAGGATACATTGTTGTAAGTTCAGTGTCACCAGTGGAAGGAACATTGTTGTAAGTTCAGTGTCACCAGTGGAAGGATACATTGTTGTAAGTTCAGTGTCACCAGTGGAAGGAACATTGTTGTAAGTTCAGTGTCACCAGTGGAAGGATACATTGTTGTAAGTTCAGTGTCACCAGTGGAAGGTATGTTGTTGTAAGTTCAGTGTCACCAGTGGAAGGATACATTGTTGTAAGTTCAGCATCACCAGTGGAAGGATACATTGTTGTAAGTTCAGTGTCACCAGTGGAAGGAACATTGTTGTAAGTTCAGTGTCACCAGTGGAAGGATACATTGTTGTAAGTTCAGTGTCACCAGTGGAAGGTATGTTGTTGTAAGTTCAGTGTCATCAGTGGAAGGATACATTGTTGTAAGTTCAGTGTCACCAGTGGAAGGAACATTGTTGTAAGTTCAGTCCTTCCCTCCTCCTCTTCTCTTTTTTCTCATTAATGTAATTTTTTTATGTATGATGTGATGATTTACTTTGTATATTTAGTGACATTTGTATGTTTTATTTTTCAGGATGCCGAGGACCCCAGTTTAGTGCCAGAAGCCACGGAAACAGAATATGCTTTCGACAATAACAGCACCAGTGAGGGCGGCTTTCGCTTCTAGTGACTGCTGTCACTTAGTGCTTTCAAAATTTCTCACAATTCTGTGAATTCAGTCATTATGAATTGTAGGCGATGCGTGAATGTATTTGTATTTTTTAATACCGTCGATGATAAATTATGATACATTGTATTGCACTCCTACGTCTCATAGTGGCTGGGTTGCACAGTAAAATTTAGACTTGTCAATCTCCGCTGTGAATATCATGCTGGTCGATTACTCACGAGCAGAATTTTCAGCCACGGTTAATCTTCCGTGATGTATTCCAGACTCGAAATATTGAGTGCTTAAAAAAACTAGAAAATATTCAATTGGACGGTGTACATGTGTGTGGATTTATGAGTGAACCGTGTGAATATTACGGTAGTTAAATAATATCGTTGAGAAACTGAAGGCGTTGAGTGTCTATCAACCTGTCAGAGATAACCAGTGTTATGGGATCGGAGATGTGATCTACACTTATTGGAGGGAGTGTAAACGATGCGATACGAGAAATATCACTTCACTTGCTGAAGGGAGTGTAAATGTGACTCGACTAAAGGGACTTTCCGAGAGTGACTTACTGTCTGCCTAATGTCAGGACCTTGCTGACGCAAAGTTCTCCAGTGTATTTAAAGAACGGATTCAGGTTTTAATGTAAACATTTAATAGATGGAAGTAGACATGCAGATGGGGAAATACTTTGCAATACTCCGACACTAGAGTCAACTCTAATGCTAAGCTTCTCTTTGTAGTGTGACTTAATGTGATTGAAAAGGTTCATTGAAAATTGAAAAGCATGCACTGTGAAAGCCTTTCAATTTGCTATTCAATTTTGGATGAACTGTTTCAGTCATTTACAAAAACGATCACTGTATGATGGAGCTTTATAAAGGAGCTGACTACTTGAAACACTGTACTGGTGTCGGAGAAGCAGTGGTACTGGTACTGCATTGGGACCCAGAACACACCCAGTGCTAGTCACCTGCTGACTGGTGTTGTGAAGAGGTGGATTGCCTGACTGGACATTTCGTCGACCCCCTTGCCGTTCGTGACTCGTCCGTCGTGATAGTGGCTCCATTGTATCATTAATACACATCATCACGTATTGACCACGTATTAGCTACGTATTAGCTCATTATCACCAAGGGAGGGTAATACAGCGCTTAGAAAACCCACTGAATGCTTCTTGCGCATACAGTTAACTCTCTTATAAAGTTCTTCTGTATATTAGGTTTCGTAAATGAGACTGAACAAATACATTCAACAATGAAAAGCATGTGAAAAGACGTTCATCTTACTTTCTATTTAAAATTGAATAGCAAGTGGAAAGATGTTCATAGTACTTTTTATTAATTTGTTTTACTGTCCAGACCCCCAAAATTAATATGGCTTTCAGTGTTCGCTTTAAATAAAAAAAATGTTCTGAAATGGTAAAGTTCTTTTGAAGGTAATGACACTAATATGAAATTTGATGGAAAATTTATGGAATTAGGCAGGCGCAAAGATAGTGGTCTCAGCGCAATTTATGCACTGGTGATTTTTGCCGAATTTGAGTCCTATTTGAAGCCAATTCCATTGTTCCTTTCATCCAAATTCTTAGCTATTTTGCTAGTATGCCTTCTGTTCTATCGATTAAGCACAAGAAACTGCAATTACAACTTCCCTGTAAAGTGCACTGAAGTCAGTAATTTGGCCAATTTTACACAGAATTAAAAAGATAATTTTAAATGTAAATATTGCATTATGCAGGTCTATTAAAACCATAAAACAGACTGTGGGGTTATGAAAGGGGGCCTTATCCAGTATCAACAAAAACTTATATTTTTACTATTTTGAACTCCATTTCAAGCTGATTCCAGTCTAGAAACCAATCAGAATCATCTCTATTTCAATAATATTTTTCATTACATCAGTTAATACCAAGAAACCCAATAAAATCATAAAAACCATCCGAGAAAGCAACTCAGAGTTATTTTAAGCCAAACACAGGGTCAGAGTTTTGCTTTTCCCATCATGCACTGCATGGGGCAGGATGTATTGTTATACTGTGCACACTCGCCACACAGTTTCATGCTCTCATATCTAGGACAAGATTTACCACTCACAGCTTATCTGAGCTGAGCTCTTGATGTAGATCTACTTGTGGGTTTAGCACTTAGTTTTGATTTTAACAATATGTGAGGGTCCCTGGCATCAGTAACATACATCTAAATGAGGGACCCCTGCCATCAATAATGTAAATCTACATGAAGGACCCCTGACATCCTTGACATCGGTAATGTAAATCTATGTAAGGGCCCCTGGCATCAATAACATTCTGCGTGAGGGACTTTGGCATCAGTAACATTCTATGTGAGGGACTCTGGCATCAGTAACATTCTGTGAGGGACTCTGGCATCAGTAACATTCTATGTGAGGGACTCTGGCATCAGTAACATTCTATGTGAGGGACTCTGGCATCAGTAACATTCTATGTGAGGGACTCTGGCATCAGTAACATTCTATGTGAGGAACTTTGGCATCAGTAACATTCTATGTGAGGGACTCTGGCATCAGTAACATTCTATGTGAGAGACTCTGGCATCAGTAACATTCTATGTGAGGGATTCTGGCATCAGTAACATTCTACTTGAGGAACAATACCTGCAAAGACACTCAACTTTCTATCCAAAAATGCAACAACTCAGTGAAAAAGATATTCATTGCACAGACATGAAATTTCAACTCAGTTTTTGTGTCCCATTTACCAAAAATGCACTGTATAGATGAGCTCTATAAGAGAGTTTACTGTACTTAGGTCATCACTGTCCTTAAGAATATTGCAACAGAAGTTTAGCAGTGAAATGTACCTAGTACGCAGTTATTTCTGGAATTATTATTTTTTACTTTTATCATTGCTGTATATTGGTTTGTAATTACACCTTGATTGTTTATTGTTTTTATGTGTTTTTTATCCATACCATTTAGTGATGAGTGGTTTATCAGCCTGTTAGAATGTTATGAGTATTGTAGTAACACATCGCTACACTACACCTGTCATACACTCATAAAAGACAGTCAGTTCTCTTATGAAATTCCTTTATATGCAGTAGGTTCTTTTATAAAGCTCCTCAATAAACAGTCACTTCTCATATAATGCTTTATAAACAGTCAATTCTCTTATAAAGCTCTTCTCTATATAGTCAGTTCTCTTATAAAACTCCTCTATATACAGCTCTCTTACAAAGCTCTATATACAGTTGCTTCACTTACGAAGCTGCTCCATATACAGTCAGTTCTCTTATAAACCCCTTCTTTATACAGTTGATTCTCTTAAAAAGCTCCTCATTATACAATTGATTTTCTTATAAAGCTCTTTTGTATACAGTCAGTTCTCTTATAAAGCTCTCTTATATAATCAGCTCTTGTAAAGCTACATTATATGCAGTCATGCTCCTAAAGTCTTCTGTATATCAGTTCTCATATCAAGCTCTTCTATATACAGTCAGTTCTCTTGTAAAGCTCTTCTATATACTGTCAATTCTCTTATAAATATATATACAACCAGTTTTGAATCTGTATATACAGTCAGTTCTCTAACAAATCTCTATAGAGAGTCATACCCTGTTTCACTCCCATAGCTGGATTACTAGCGCACTCAGCTCACAAACTGAGGTCCGAGAATCAATCCCCAGTACAGGTGGAAACATTAGGACCTGTTTGAAAAGACACCTGCTGTCCCTGTTCACTCAGCAGTAAAATAGGTACCTGAGTGTTTGTGGAATGGTGTGGGTCGCATCTTTGGGCAAAATTCACCAAATTTGCGGGAAATGCTCTGCATAGCAAGTGGCATTCTGTATACTAGTATGTCATTGATGTCAGCTATGGTCTGTATACCTTGTACATGTACTTGTAGAAATAAAGATATTATTATTAAATTGTCAGGTGATAACTTGTTTTAGTTTCAATGGTTCGGCATCGGACGTAACTTGGAGAGTTACAGCCCACCCTCTCACCGCAAACTTATAGCTCCCATCGCTGACCTTCAGTTTATAGGATGCAGGGTGGTTTTTGGAGACATTTTATGGAAATAAAAATGCATCTAATAAGCCACGACATATTCCACTGGACTGTTCTGTCTATCAGTGAGCATGCAGAATTTACCTATAACGTTGTCACCACTTTAACACCCTTATGTTATCTTCCCTCCTTGCTGATGGCCCCACCTTTGACATAGACTCCCTCTTTGATTTTTGGACACCAACCGATTTATTACACAAACTTTGATACAAAAATCGAACATTTCCGGTACTTTGAGCTCAATGTCAAGCTACTTTTAATCTGTAAACCATTCAAAATCATCTCTACTTCTGTAATATATCTTCCATTATATCAAATGAGACCAAGAAACTGAGAATATAACCATAAAAAAACACAAAATGACAATACAGTGGTACCTCAAGTTACGAACTTAATTCGTTCGAGAAGGCTGTTCGAGTGCCGTTAACGAACGAATTTGTTCCCATAAGGAATAATGTAAATTAGACTAGTCCGTTTCAGACCCCCAAAAATACACTTACAAAAGCACTTACAAAAATAAACTTACATAATTGTTCAAGTTGGGAGCTGTTCAAAACTCGAGGTACCACTGTAATTCTTCAGCACTCATCACAGCCATTTCTAACTTTACCTTTGTTACCATCTCCACTCCTGGCTACCTTCTGGTTCAGAAGTTCCTCCCTCCCCACCCCACCCTGCAGCACTCTACCACCCAGGTGGGTTTACCACTTGGTTTTGATAATAATAATATATACAGCCAGTTCTCCTATAAAGCTCTTCTATACTTTGAGTTTTTTAAATTTTTGGTTAAACTTATTGTAATTGCTTTTACAAACATTTGCTCTATATATATATAGAAGCTTTATAAGAGAACTGATTGTATATAGAGCTTTTTGAACACTGATTGTATATAGAGGAGCTTTATAATTAAAGTGACTAATTAGAGGAGCTTTATATGAGAATTGACTGTATATGAAGGATCTTTATAAGAGAAGTGACTGTATATAGAGGAGCTTTATAAGAGAACTGACTGTATATAGAGGAGCTTTATAAGAGAACTGACTGTATATAGAGCAACTTATTAAGAGAACTGTATACAGAGGAGCTTTATAAGAGAACTGACTGTATATAGAGGAGCTTTATAAGAGAACTGACTGTATATAGAGGAGCTTTATAAGAGAACTGACTGTATATAGAGGAGCTTTATAAGAGGGCTATGAAGTTGGCACATTAAATCCTCCAAATCCGACTATTTATGGCGTCTTCGACTCTTCTAATTATGTATGGATATAGGGAATAAATTATAAATTATAATAATTATACATTTGCTGTATGAATTTTAAGCATGCAACATACAAAGCCTTTCACCACAAGTTAACTTCAGTCATCTGGCTACTTTTTATAAGCCTAAACTTAGTCATCTGTTAAAGCTTGAAGCTAAAGGCTATAGTCATTGCATATTTTTTCAGACTCTTCTTTTAAAATACAGTGGAACCTTGGTACTCGAACAGCTCCATACTCGAACAATTCGGTTTGTTCGCTTTGTTTTCGTAAATACATAAATCACTCGGTAGTTGACCATTTGCTTGGCACTTGACCAAACAAACATGACTTGCCAGAACTTTGCTGTAAACTATTTCATGTTTCTTTGCAGTTTTTGTTGTTTTTCTTTTATATTGTGTAAATAAGTCGTCATGTGGACAAAGAGGGTTAGTGATAACAGCCAACCAAAAAGAAAAACATGTTTGGGAAAAATTTGTTTGGTACTGGAACAGATCGGCACTTAAAGAGCCTTCTGGAACGAATTAAGTTCGAGTGCCGAGGTTCCACTGTACAGAAGTCCCCTCGTACCCGTGGGGGATACCTTCCAAGATCTACCATGTATACCTGAAACCCTGGATGAGGGGATACCTTCCAAGATCTACCATGTATACCTGAAACCCTGGATAATAGCGAACCCTATATATAAGTAATTTTTTATTTACATACGTATGTATGATAAAGTATAATTGATAAATTATGCAAAATAAGTCTAGAATTTGCACTTTTTCACTAATGGGAAGCACTTCATGGTTCCTCTTAGGCTTTAAACAACTGCCAGCATCACTACCATTGCCCTTTGGAGCCATTATTAAGCAAAACTAAGGGTTACTTTTGGGCCACAGTAAACCGTGGATGAGTGAAACCGTGAATACAGAATTCATGGATATGGGGATTCTACTGTACAATGACACACACAGTGTTTCTCATCTGTTGTTATTGTAAAATGTTCAACAGCACTCGACTTTGTTAACAATCTGTTGCCGTTAAATTAACCACGGTACGAGTGGGGACTGAACTCTCAGCAAGTAAGTCATAAAGTTCCAGCTAGTGTGTAAGCCACTGGATCAGCTGGCCCAGTGGTTCACACACTGGATCAGCTGGCCCAGTGGTTCACACACTGGATCAGCTGGCCCAGTGGTTCACACACTGGATCAGCTGGCCCAGTGGTTCACACACTGGATCAGCTGGCCCAGTGGTTCACACACTGGATCAGCTGGCCCAGTGGTTCACACACTGGATCAGCTGGCCCAGTGGTTCACACACTGGATCAGCTGGCCCAGTGGTTCACACACTGGATCAGCTGGCCCAGTGGTTCACACACTGGATCAGCTGGCCCAGTGGTTCACACACTGGATCAGCTGCCCAGTGGTTCACACACTGGATCAGCTGGCCCAGTGGTTCACACACTGGATCAGCTGGCCCAGTGGTTCACACACTGGATCAGCTGGCCCAGTGGTTCACACACTGGATCAGCTGGCCCAGTGGTTCACACACTGGATCAGCTGGCCCAGTGGTTCACACACTGGATCAGCTGGCCCAGTGGTTCACACACTGGATCAGCTGGCCCAGTGGTTCACACACTGGATCAGCTGGCCCAGTGGTTCACACACTGGATCAGCTGGCCCAGTGGTTCACACACTGGATCAGCTGGCCCAGTGGTTCACACACTGGATCAGCTGGCCCAGTGGTTCACACACTGGATCAGCTGGCCCAGTGGTTCACACACTGGATCAGCTGGCCCAGTGGTTCACACACTGGATCAGCTGGCCCAGTGGTTCACACACTGGATCAGCTGGCCCAGTGGTTCACACACTGGTCTGGAGTTTTACCACTCACTTGCCGTTAGTTCAGTCCCCGCTCGTGTTGTGGTTAGTTTGCAATTTGTGTCATTACAATTTATGCCATTGTGATTTTCTTCACAGGCTGCCGCCTTCACTTATTTTTGTATCTTAAAATGTGTTATACAGTGGACCCCCGGTTAACGAACTTTTTTCACTCCAGAAGTATGTTCAGGTGCCAGTACTGACCGAATTTTTTCCCATAAGGAATATTGTGAAGTAGATTAGTCCATTTCAGACCCCCAAACATACACGTACAAACGCACTTACATAAATACACTTACATAATTGGTCGCATTTGGAGGTGATCGTTATGCGGGGGTCCACTGTATTTGCAAATTTGCGGAGACCTTAAAATTAAAATACATCCTTAAAAAACAAAATGGTTAATCAAATTATTTTCTGTGAAATGGAATGTTTAGAACATATTTTTTTATATTCTATACAATTTATATTTATTAGGAGTCGGAGCCAGTACATTTTACCAACTGCGATTCTGACTCTGACTTCGATTGCAGTAACCCAAGAATTGCTTCCAACTGTCCAACTCCAGCTCCACAGCCCTTGTTTATAAGAGCTCACTATATAGAGGAGCTTTATAAGACAGCTGACTGTATATAGATGAGCTTTATAAGAGAATTGACTGTGTATAGACAAGCTTTATAAGAGAACTGACTATATATAGACGAGCTTTAAAAGAGCTGACTGTATACAGAGGAGCTTTATAAGAGAGCCGGCT